AAAACTCCATTTGAAGTTCTTACTGGCTGTACTCCGAATTTTGCACAATTGAAAGTTTTTGGGTGCTTAGCTTTTGCTCATAATCACAAATCTCGTGGAAACAAATTTGCTCCTCGTAGTCGGAAGTGTGTATTTGTTGGATACCCATCTGGGAAAAAGGGATGGAAACTTTATGATTGTGACTCGGGTGATATTTTTGTCTCTCGAGATGTATTGTTCCACGAAGATGTCTTCCCATTCGAGCACCAACAACCTGCGCCGCTATCCTTGCCCGAGTCTGAGCTCCCTGTGCCTCTCCATGATGACGCACTTGTGACGCCGGACTCCAATGACTCCCATGCAGGGACCGACGAGCATACCGAATCCCATGCTGCCGCCGACACAGCCCGTTCCCATGCAGAAACCGAGGCAGCTACTTCCCATGCCGATGTTCCAGCTCTTGGCCGTGGTTTACGATCCAAACGGTCTTCAGTCCTTCTCAGAGATTTCGTCACACACCACCTTCGGAATATAAGCCCATCTCCGCCATCATCTGTTCCTCTCAGTTCCTCAGGTACGCATTATCCTTTAGCACATTATTTAAATTGTGAAAAATTTTCGACTCGTCACCGCTTGTTTCTTGGAGCTCTTCTTACAGGACATGAACCCCGTTCTTTTCGTGAGGCTATGACAGATCCTGGTTGGCGGAATGCCATGCAAAAAGAAATACAGGCACTTGAAAATAATCATACGTGGGAGCTTGTTCAGTTGCCAGATGGGAAACGGGCTCTTGGGTGCAAGTGGGTTTACAAAATTAAATACCACTCAGACGGGACGATAGAACGGCTTAAAGCTCGCCTGGTTGTACTCGGTAATCATCAGACTGAAGGTATTGATTATACGGAAACTTTTGCGCCGGTAGCAAAGATGGTTACTGTCCGTGTTTTTTTAGCTATTGCTGCGGCTAAAAATTGGGAGATTCACCAGATGGATGTTCATAATGCATTTCTTCATGGTGATTTACATGACGAAGTTTATATGAAAACTCCACCCGGGTTTCACCATTCTCGGCCTGGTCTTGTGTGTCGGCTGAGAAAATCCTTATATGGTTTACGACAGGCTCCCCGATGTTGGTTTGCGAAGCTCACTACTGCTTTGCGTTCATACGGTTTTTGCCAGTCTAAATCCGACTATTCTTTGTTCATTTATCAGCAGAATCATATTCGCTTGCATGTGTTGATTTATGTTGATGATTTAATAATTGCTGGCAATACTCCGTCTACTCTTGCTCATTTTAAGCATTATTTGCACTCTTGTTTTCACATGAAAGATTTGGGTGTTCTACGATATTTCCTTGGCATAGAGGTTGCTCGTAGTGCAGATGGCATTCTTCTTTGTCAACGGAAATATACCTTGGATATTATTTCTGAAGTTGGTTTGCTTGGAGCGAAACCTACCTCTTGTCCTATGGAGCCGAATCATTCACTTGCTCTTGCTACTGGAGATGTATTGGCAGATCCTGAATCGTATCGTCGTCTTGTGGGCCGTCTTATTTATCTTTCGTTCACACGGCCTGACTTGGCCTACGCTGTTCACATTTTATCTCAGTTTATGCAGGCCCCTCGGCAGGAACATTGGCATGCTGCGTTGCGCGTTGTTCGCTATCTCAAAGGTTCTCCTGGCCAGGGAATAATTCTCTCCTCTGCTTCGGCTCTGAATCTTACTGCCTGGTGTGATTCGGATTGGGCAAGCTGTCCTCTCACGCGTCGTTCTTTGACTGGATGGATGATTTTTCTCGGTGATTCTCCTATTTCTTGGAAAACCAAGAAGCAAGTTACTGTTTCCCGCTCTTCTGTCGAGGCCGAATATCGGTCCATGGCGGCAGTTACTGCCGAATTAAAATGGCTAAGAAGTCTTCTTCTCTCTTTCGGTATTGATCATTCTTCTCCTATGACTCTTTTTTGTGACAGTCGATCCGCACTTCATATCGCCCAGAATCCTGTTTTTCACGAACGCACGAAACACATTGAGGTTGATTGTCACTATGTTCGTGATGCCATTCAAGACGGTCTCTTGGTTCCTCGTCACGTTTCCACTGATGCTCAGCTAGCTGATATCTTCACCAAAGCGCTTGGGCAACGACAGTTTCTTTTCCTATTAAGCAAGTTGGGCATCTTCAATCCCCATGCTCCAACTTGAGGGGGGGTGTTAGATCTATATTTTTGGGCTTGTATATTCTTTATTGTATTTAGTCTTGTGCATTATTTCTTGGGCCAAGGGTTTGTGTTTTTCGGCCATCTTATGTATAAATATTTGGTAAACTATTGAGAAAAGGGAGGAATGATTTTCTTTGGCCAATACCGAGTCTAAACCGCAACAATAATTAATTCCATAAAACTCGAAAAGAAAAAAGAGACGGTTGTTTTCCTATCGAGGGAGTATCTCTTAAGAGTTAGGAGTTCCAAATGAGTTCTTGGGACTTCAGAATTAATCCAGCAAAGTTTTTTTTTTTTTTTTTTTTTTTTTTTTGAGAATAAACCCAACAAAGTTGGGATCTAGCAGTGGTAAAAAAAGAATGGGAGTTAGTAACTCTGTTAGTTTATTCACGTATAATCGCGGATAATACACTCAAATGTATGGATCTAGGATTCCCGATTGGATCTGTAAATTCTATCTGAAGGTTGTCTTGTATGTGTTCTCGATTTTAATATAACGGCTGCACTTTTATGATAAAAAAAATTACACTCAAACGTATAATTCATGTATAATAATCCCGTTTATGAATTTTTCAGAAAATTCTGAAAAATTCACGTACTTTAAGGATAAAATGTATAAGACACGTACCATACGTATTGATGTGTATTTTATTAAAAAAAAAAAAAACACCATTAAACGGAAGCGTAATGGAATGGTACACTTGAAGCGAAATGTCTAGCAGCTCAATACTATTTATATTGCTTATTTTTTTTTTATGCCTTATACATTCGTTAATTGTTTAATAGTCATTAGATTTAATAGGTTAGCTTCTTAAAGGCGTAATCCGTTTCGATATTACGATTGTACTACTATTGTATTACTCTTTTCTCCACCCATACCAAGACTCCAAGAGAAAAATATTGTGGCGGCTCACCAAACTCACAGTCACAGTAATATCAACTATTCTCTAGTAATATCTCTCTACTTCTACTCAAATGGGCAATCTCATTTTTATTACTTATTGTACATATGAATTCAAATTCGTATATCTGGAAAAACCATTCCGTACATTTTAAACGAGTGAAGAATGTGGTGCATATGTCAAATAACTATTTATTCCTATCATTAAATTAGTATATAAGACATGTATAATATGTCATATTTTTTAATTGTGAAACGTTTAATACACGTTCGTATGTTTAACCAATTCACGAACGTATGAAATGTCTATATTTAACCGTATTTATATAATGGTATCGTATTATACACGCACATACATATAATTGTATCATTCACGAACCGTATATTACTAACAAAGGTTAGTAAAACAATGTTGCTTGCCGTACACACTTTTATACGCATTTGTACATATGTCATTAAATATGTTATTTTTTATCTGTGAATAACCCGTTCACAAACAAAACATGTTCACCATCATCGATCAGAGTATTTTGTCCATAGATAGGCTTTTCATAAACAAAAAATAGCATATTCATGGATATGTATAGTGGTATCTACAAATAATTTTCAGTTATGTTTGGTGCATACATAATTTCTAAACATATTGTGTACAACATATCTAATTGTTTGTTTACCAAACAGCTTTTTAGCGAATTACTTTGTTACCAACATTTCTAATTGTTTGTTTACCAAACATAATTAGGAAGGCGGTACACAATATGAGCACAATATGACTATATGAGCACAAACTATGTGTACCTACATCATTTTTGAATAATTTTTTGTTAGTAATAAAAACATGAAATAGTTACATGTCTTTGTCAAATTTTCCCAACATAGGCTCTTTGTTGGATAGCAGTACGTACATTACATGCTGCTGATACATATACTGTGCTCCCACAAGACAAACCCATTCCTCGGACCCACCGGTCCATTATCAATCACATCAGTCCACGTACGACGCCCATCTTATCAGGCCACGTGGAGCCACGGCTCGATCCTCACCCTTCCTGCGTGTGAGGCCGGTCTTGTACCCGGCACCACCAGCCGACCACGCACATTTCGACCCGCCATCTTCGATGCTCCAAACCCCCTTGGGTCCCCACTTTGCACTATCACGCATTTAATACAGTGCGCATTTGGCTTCGTCCTTAAAGGAATTTCGGCATCGTAATGGACACTCTTGCTTACCGCAGAGATCTGCATTATTCAATGTACATTTTATTCTTTATCAAAGAGAGGCAATTGATATGTACTCCCACTTTTATTTTCATACACATTAAGAAAATGAATTTCACTCCACATAATTTGACATTGTTGCGACACTGTTTCGCACTGTAGCGACACTGTTTTGCATTGTTTTGTATTGTTTGACATTGTTTGATATAGATTTGTTTATCAAATAAGGAAGTTAAAGAAGTGATAAATTTATTTTGGGACAGAACGAAAAGGAAAGCAGGACATGTATTTCGGGACGGATGGAGTATTACACATTCTTCGTGAGATTTGTGCAGATTTGTGTAGAGGAGTAGAAATAATAAGAAGTGCTGTAATAGATTATCATAGACTATGGTTTATGAGTTTATGACAAAGTTTGGAATCATTCAAAATAAAAGATGAGAAAATTATAAAGGATGGGACTATGGGAGTATATAATTGTTGAAGTCTGATCTAATCTCATCTGATCGAGTTTGGATTTATTCATTCAGATGATTATAAGTCACGTTTTTTTGGAAGAAAGGAGCTTAAATTGATATCACAACGTTAGCATTCAGATAGGGAGTTAAACGACAAAAGGATCACATACAACCGTCAGCTCTCGAACCAGATTTAGAGTCAATCACATTCAAAAAAGCAATATAACTCGCCGATCCTATAATGGGCATAAATGAGCCAACGACGACTAAAGCAGACCTTCCATCACTCAATCCTAATGCAAGAGTCTTACAATAATAAAAGTAATCAACTAGAAAAATAAGCAGCCTGATCATGAAAAATAAATCGCAAGCAAACAGTAAAATTAAAAAGATGCTTTCAAACCCTAGATTCTCCTGCACCCCATTGCAGCGGTTCAGGAGGGGGGCGATCCAGCAATACCGTAGCTTCTTCATCACCTTGCCTCTTATTCATCCTGTTCTCTACCAAGCCTCCTTTGTCGCCACCTAACACAGATGACCTCAAATCCAGATCTGTTCCAGCCTCTAGCCCCACAGTTCGTCCATGATCTCTGGCCGTCGTAGACCAAACATTCATCTTCCGTCCCTGCACAACCTTCAGCCGCTGGAGACCAAACATCATCTTCCCTCCGCTTAAGTCATGTTTAAATACAAGTTAATACTCCGTAAAAGATATGAGTTATTCATTCATTAAAAGAGCTTTTCCTAAGGTACTACTAATATAAAATTTGTGCATACAAATGTGGCTAAAGTTATTATGTATATTTTTATTAAGATTTAAAATTTAAACACAATTATAATTACTAAAAGCTTTACCAATTAAATTACATTATATTCCAAAATATTCATTTTTGTTATGTATTAGGAATCATTTCTTAAAGATGATTTACTACCAATCTTAAGACACCTATTTAGCATCTATGCAACCAATTTTACTCATCTACAAGATAATCTAAAGTAGCAATAAATTGATTATATTATTCGATCAACTTAACATATAAATAAAACAATATCCTTTTTAGATAACTATGCTGAGAGATTACTATGTAAAAATGCATAAAACTTGTGTCAGTATATTACAGAGTTATACTCTTTAGTATCAGCTTGTAACTATTAAAGTTCAATTTACCCCTCTGAATTAATGGTTCGCCCGGTGCTTATTAGGGCCCTCAGAAATGGTATATCATCTTTTTTGGAGCTTTGAACCAGCGCACCAAGTCTTTCCATTTCCTGTTGTTTTTCGTTTTTTATTTATTTCACTAGTTTGGGTTTGGACAGGCTGGATGACTTGGCAACCAAGTTTGCTGAACGCCACTCGGTCAAAGTATACAAAGGTTTTTTGTTTTTGGTTTGAATTAATTATCAAAATAGGACTAAAAGTCATTCACTTTGCACAAATAGGACCTAAAAATAAACTATGTTTCCATAGGAATAATTATGTGTGTCTTGGACAAATATACCCTTATACCTATTGGAATGTTTTAATTCATAAAAAATAATAAAAATTCGTAAAATATACCAAAAAACTAATAAAAATATTTTGAATAATATTAATTTAAAAAAAAAATTAAAAAAAAATCAAAAAAAAAAATTTTGTCACCGCCGCCTCTGCCGCCCCAGCACCACCGCCTCTAGTCATTTGGGGAAAAAATGCCAAATTTATTATGAATTTCATATTTTTGGCATAATTCAGAATGATTTAAGATGACAGAAAAAAATGTTGGCATTGTCAAAGAGAAATATGCCATATTTTTGGCATTTTCCGAAAAATGGAAGTTTGTAGGAAATATGACATTTTTTTTAACGGTCGGAGGTGGTGGTGCAGGGAGGCGGTACCACCACCTCCTGTCACCGGGGTAAAAAAATGCCAAAAAAATTATGAATGCCATATTTTTGGCAAAAGTCAAAAGGATTCAAGTTGGCAGAATGAAAATGTTGGCATTCTCATAGAGAAATATGTCATTTTTGTGGAATTTAAAAAAAGTGGCATTTTTTACACCGATCGGATGTGGTGGTTCAGGGAGGTAGTACAGGCGGTGGGAAATGTATCCATATTTTTTTAATTTTTTTATGGAGTTTTACTGTTTTTATTAATTTTCAAAAAAAAATTAAAAAAAAATTCTTATTTTTTATTTTATAAATTTTTTTTTTTTTAATTTTCTACAAATTATTGAAATTTTTTCGGATTTATTATGAATTAAACACTTAATTATGACTTTTAGCTATCTTTTACTAATATTTAAAGGAGGGGTAAGAATGGAAGGAAGAAATGAGTATGTTTCCAATAGGACCACTATGGTCCTATTTTGGAATAAAAACCATAGCAAGTCCTATTTTGAGTTTTTGTCATAGTTTTAGTCCTATTTGAAGTAATTTCTATTTTGATTTTTTAACTTGTTACCAAATACTACCTCCGTCCCGGATGGAACTTGACGTTTGCTTTTTGCACGATATTTTAGGAGCTCAATTAATAGAAGAACAAATGTCTTGCATGCCCTTTGACTTTTGGGGGATTAATTTTATCCACATGCACAAATGTAAAAAGTGAATGAGTAAAGAAGGGTAGTTAAAGAAACGTAAAAGAGTAAATGAGACATCTCAAAAATGAAAGTGTAAAGATTTAAATGGGACGGAGGGAGTATTTTGTTATCATGAGTCCACTAAATTAAATGATCCTAATTAAAGGTATTGATTACCCTTGAGAATTGAGATATGTTTTAATGTATCTTTTATCACTAGTTTTTTATGGTTTTCGTGTTATGGGGTGTTTGGATCTGATTCTTAAAACTACTTCTCCTCCTTCAGGAAGCAGAAGCAGAAGCTGGAGTGTATGGGTGAAAGTGCAGAATTGATTCTTGTGCTCTAATTTATTCCTAGAATTAGTTTTTTTTAGAAGCTGGGGGTGATCAGCTTCTGAAAACATATTCTGATTCTGCTTCTGCTTTAAAAAAGAAGTTGAAGCAGAATCAGTTCCAAACACCCCTTATAACTAATTGATATGTAGTACGGAGTAGTATTTTTTTAAGTTTTAAGCAATTCACTTTTTTTTTAAATAAAATTGTAATTGTTTGATAAATGTTGATTCTTCAGAACACGTCTAGTGACACTCTAGTTGACTGAATTAGATTAATCCACTAAAATTTAATTTGTGAAGTTCTGGGGTTGAAGCATCAAAACTCAAAGTATGTTAAAGTCTTAGAAAGTTATATTTAAAATATTTAGGGAATAGTACAGAAAAGGTACTTGTGATTGGGCTCGTTTTCAGATAGTGTCATGTGTTTCATTTTTTATCAAAGTGGTCGTTCATGTGTTTGAATTCTGTTGTCACAAGAGGGTCACACCGTTAAAAACGTCTGAAAAAGACCGTTAAAAGCAACTCGGTTGTTCAAAAGTGCCCGAAAATTAAAAGAAAAATACCGGAAGGTGCACCTCAATAAGACGACCGCTATGCCATGTTTCTTTTTTGTTTCCAGCCACCTTTGTCACCGGAAAGTCCATTGGAAAAGTGATATTAGTGAAATCACTTTTAAAAAAATAATTTAAACAGATCTGAGAAATCCAAAGGCGAAGGTGGTTTGGAGGTCATCTTGACAAGGTGCGCCTTTTAGTACTTTTCTTTTAATTTTTCGGGCACTTTTGAAAATCGAAGTTACATTTAGCAGTCTTTTTCAAACGTTTTTAACGGTGTGACCCTCTTGTGATAACGGAATTCAAACACATGAACCACTTTGATAAAAAATGAAACGCATGACCCTATCTGAAAACGGACCCAACCACAAGTAGTTTTTCCGTACTTTTCCCAAATATTTATTACTAATAAAACATAAAAAACTATATGAAAAATAGCTAATATATTTTATTAGGAAATAATATCATAAAAATAATATTTGATCATTACACAATTTAACAAGCTAAATACAAATTATGTACTTGGTAAAAGTTGATTGATAAGTAAAAAATCGGACTCTTCATGTAGTCATGTTTGGTATAAGAAGATGGTGTGACTAATTAATACTGAAAGAAAGATATTTGTGTCGGAAACTACTAAAGGGTCATTACAATGCCGATCCTATCAAAATTCGGGCCTGAGTCGAACTTCATAAAAGGCCTTATACAACATTTTTTTTGAAATGACTAATTAAACATCATAAAAACGACTAATTAAATGAAAATTAGATTAATATCAAAGTATTCAAATGACTAATTAAGTACAACTCGCCGGAGAGTTTTAGCTGCAAAAGTATTAATTAACTCGGCATTCTAGATGTTCAATAAATTCCTTCTCAACAGATATTTGGTAGGCTATAAATCCTTTTACGGCTTTAAATAGAAGAATATTAGAAATTTAGAAGCTAAGCATAGAAGATGAAAGATTAACCTTGATGTTGATGTCAATTAAGTCTATAGATTGGAACAAGGGAATCGCAAATTAACCTTAAGGCCCCGTTGTTGATTGATTAGTCTAGGTCAGAACAAAAGAATCGCAAATCGCCTTAAAACCCTTTTCCACTGATGGCTATTTCGCTTCTAAACTGCCTGAACAAAGGTAATTAGGGGACTTTTTGGGTTTTCCTTTTTGAAGTTCAACAGCGGACAATGGTTAGACAAAGGAAGCTCAATATGTAAATTTAATACACATATTTACTAAAGAAATATCTAAAATTGTGGGCCCTAAAATTTTAACAATTTTTTGGACCCTTTGACAAGTGCCTCATCTGCCTCAAGCACCGCACGGCTCTGAGGGTCAAGACAGTTCCTCGGAAAATTATTCTGTGGAAAACAACTCGTAAGTGAAACACACACTTAAGAACTTTTCGATATGTTTTAAATGATGCAAAATTCATAAGTTCGCTATTTGTGCTTACCAAATTAAACATGGATTAAGAGCGTGTTTTGGATTTAGCGATTAGCGGTTAGCGAATAACTGATTATGTTAGCGATTTGTAAATTGCAGATTCAATTTGCAGGGTAATTTAACGGATTGTCAGAAGATGCTTGATAATTCAGTTGTTTGACCGTAACAATTAGTAGAAAATGTCATATATCAAAAACTAATCTAAAACTCTTCTATTTGTGACGTTTTCATGTTAACGATTCTTTTCAAAGAACTAGGGCATATCAGAAAAGATATTTACCAAACAACATTTTCAGATAATGAAATGCTAAAATGGTCAAACCTCCATTAAACATCATTTTCCAAACACGAAACACCCCTAAATTCAAGGTGCCAACTATAAATTTTTCTTTTATTCGACAAACTTCATTCAAGGTGCCAACCTTCCTACACCAGCAAAACCATGAGTTCCCGTTTTTTCCCGTCTAGAATTTCCATTTCGAGCCGCAAACGGTACAAAACAAATCCAGTTATGGTTAGGTTGAAGGTATTATTTGCCAAAAACCAACCAAAACGGTTTGAAAATCTCATTCGGAAACAATTACGGAATTGAACCAAAACAAATACCTGATTAAATCGGGTTCAAATATGATTGTTTAATTTGGTGATCAGTCTTTGGTATATCCCTGGTTTAACAATTTTGGGTCCACTCTTACCGGTATTCATGTTCGGTCTTGGTTTTGTGTATTGGACTTATTTTCTTAGTCCTGATCTGCAACCATTAAGTATTTCATAAACTTCACATAACCACATCTCTATCAACTTTTTTTTTATGATTTAGATGTTAAAGTTTGTGCTCACATCTTCATCAACTCCTTAATAGGAGTATGTAGTTATGTAATCATTCATATATTTCCTTTAGTGAAATCTCGCATTTGGTTTTACAAAGGCGTAATACTTGTACGCATTTCAAGATAATGCTAAATAAATGAGGATATTGAAAAAAAGTTAAGGAATTTATTACAAATATAAATAAAGCATACACAAAGTGAATGAATATGAGTGGCTATTTTTATTCCTATCATGTGCGTAGCTCAATTGATAAACAGGGGTGCTACAAGAGTAAGTCTCGATTTTGAATCTTGACAACTGTAATGAGATGTTACTTATGAAAACATTTATGACATCTGCAAGTATTTGAACGAGAGTACCATTCACTATCTACCAGCTTGTGATTAAGTGAATGTAGTTTATATTTTACCCTATTCGATTTTCTTCTTGATATTACCGAATTGGACTTGCAGTGCTTATTCATTCAATATATACTCCATATTGTTTTTTATGCACGGACCACGGCTGACCTATATAATTCTCAG